TTACGAGGGAAGGAGTATGAGGAGCGCCTGAAGGAACTGTACCTTACGACACTAGAAAAAAGAAGGGAGAGGGATGGACATGATAAGAACGAATAAAATACTCAGGGGATTGACAGTGTGGACATAGACGAAATGTTCACACGGAATAGTAACTGAACGAGGGGACATGGATGGAAGCTGGAAACTCAGATGAGTCAGAGATGTTAGGAAGTTTTCTTTTAGCGTGTGAGTAGTGGAAAAATGGAATGCACTTAATTAAGGAACAGGTTGTGGAAGCCAACTCTATTCATAATTTTAAAATTAGGTATGATAGGGAAATAAGACCGGAGTCATTGCTGTAAACATCCGATGCTCGAAAGGCGGGATCCAAGAGTCAATGTTCGATCTTGCAGACACAAATACGTGAGTACACACACACACACACACACACACACACACACACACACACACACACACACACACACACACACACACACACACACACACACACACTAACACACTCAGCTTGTTAGTAGGCTTGACGGCTGAGTGAACAGCGCTTAGGATTCGTAATCCTAGGATCCGGGGCTCGATCTCCGGCAATTGCGGAAATAAATGGGCAACATTTCTTTCACCCTGATGCGCCTGTTCGCCTAGCAGTAAATAGGTACTTGGGAGTTAGACAGCTGCTACAGGCAGCTTCCTTGTGTGTGTGTGTGTGTGTGTGTGTGTGTGTGTGTGTGTGTGTGTGTGTGTGTGTGTGTGTGTGTGTGTGTGTGTGAAAAAATCAGTTGATTGATACTGGGTCTGGCTATGCCCGAAAGAGCCAGAGCTCAACCCCCGCTAGCAAAACTAGGTGAATAGAAGTAGGTGAAAACACACACACACACCCACACAACTTTTTTTTAGTGAGTATAATTGGACAGACTTGTTGCTAGGCAAGGAAGTGAATGAGATGTATGTCAGGTTTTGTGAAATATATGATAAAGGCCCAAAAAAATTTTATACCAAAACAGAGAAGCAGAACTAGGAAACAGGATTGGTTCAACAGTAAGTGCGAGAGGGACAGAGACCAAAGGACACAAACATGGAATCAATACAGGAAGAGGCCAAACCCCCAACCATACCAGCGATACAAAGATGCGAGAAACAACTACACGGCAGTGAGGAGAGAGGCAGAAAGAAATTTTGAAATAGGGATTGCAGACAAATGTAAAACAGAACCAGGTCTATTCTATAAATTCATAAACAACAAATTGCAGGTAAAGGATATCATTCAGAGGTTGAAAATGGGAAATAGATTCACGGAAAATTAAAAGGAAATGTGTGAAACATTAAACGTAAAGTTCCAAAGTGTGTTTGTACAAAATGAAATCTTCAGGGAACCAGATACAATAAGAATTCCAGAGAACAACATAGAGCACATAGAGGTGTCTAGAGACGAAGTGGAAAAAATGCTCAAGGAGCTAAATAAGAACAAAGCAGTTGGTCCAGATGGAGTTTCACCGTAGGTTCTGAGAGAATGTGCACCTGAGCTCAGCATTCCTCTTCAACTGATTTTTCAGGCTGATTTTACAGGAGTTATAGCTGATGTGTGGAAAAAGGCTAACATAGTTCCAATCTACAAAAGTGGAAGCAGGGAAGACCCCCTTAATTATAGACCGGTATCATTGACAAGTGTAATAGTCAAAATATTGGAAAAATAATTAAAACTAAATGGGTAGAACACCTGGAGAGAAATGATATAATATCAGACAGACAGTATGGTTTTCGATCTGGAAGATCCTGTGTATCGAATTTACTCAGTTTCTATGATCGAGCAACAGAGATATTACAGGAAAGAGATGGTTGGGTTGACTGCATCTATCTGGACCTAAAAAAGGCTTTCGACAGAGTTCCACATAAGAGGTTGTTCTGGAAACTGGAAAATATTGGAGGGGTGACAGGTAAGCTTCTAACATGGATGAAAAATTTTCTGACTGATAGAAAAATGAGGGCAGTGATCAGAGGCAATGTATCGGACTGGAGAAATGTCACAAGTGGAGTACCACAGGGTTCAGTTCTTGCACCAGTGATGTTTATTGTCTACATAAATGATCTACCAGTTGGTATACAGAATTATATGAACATGTTTGCTGATGATGCTAAGATAATAGGAAGGATAAGAAACTTAGATGATTGTCATGCCCTTCAAGAAGACCTGGACAAAATAAGTACATGGAGCGCCATTTGGCAAATGGAATTTAATGTTAATAAATGCCATGTTATGGAATGTGGAATAGGAGAACATAGACCCCACACAACCTATATATTATGTGAGAAATCTTTAAAGAATTCTGATAAAGAAAGAGATCTAGGGGTGGTTCTAGATAGAAAACTATCACCTGAGGACCACATAAAGAATATTGTGCGAGGAGCCTATGCCACACTTTCTAACTTCAGAATTGCTTTTAAATACATGGATGGCGATATACTAAAGAAATTGTTCACGACTTTTGTTAGGCCAAAGCTAGAATATGCAGCGGTTGTGTGGTGCCCATATCTTAAGAAGCACATCAACAAACTGGAAAAGGTGCAAAGACATGCTACTAAGTGGCTCCCAGAACTGAAGGGCAAGAGCTACGAGGAGAGGTTAGAGGCATTAAATATGCCAAAACTAGAAGACAGAAGAAAAAGGGGTTATCTTGAAAGATGATTTCGGGGCTTTAGTGTCCCCGCGGCCCGGTCGACCAGGCCTCCACCCCATGAATCACTAGCTGATACAAAATAGTAACAGGAATTGAGAAACTTTGCTCATTGTTTCTCGCCGGCGCCTGGGATCGATAGGGCCACAGGACCACAAGATTTCCTGAGACCTGGAACATACAAAATTAACAGGAAAGAACAAGAAGATTTCCATAGACTTTAAGAACAAACATAGATATAAGCTAGCTAAACACAGATGCCGAAGAAATATAAGAAAATTCACTTTCGCAAACAGAGTGGTAGACGGTTGGAACAAGTTAAGTGAGAAGGTGGTGGAGGCCAAGACCGTCAGTAGTTTCAAAGCGTTATATGACAAAGAGTGCTGGGAAGACGGGACACCACGAGCGTAGCTCTCATCCTGTAACTACACTTAGGTAATTACACTTAGGTAATTACACACGTACACACACACACACACACACACACACACACACACACACACACACACACACACACATATACAAGCTAGTGTCACTAACTTGCATACCATGCAAGATGATGGAAAAATTGTGGAAAAAAACTAGTGGAACATCTGGAGGGAAATAACTTTGTAACACAACATCAACATGGGTTCAGGGATGGGAAATCATGCCTAACAGGATTAATTGAGTTCTATGACCAGGCAACAAAAATCAGGCAAGAAAGAGAGGGCTGGGCAGACTGCATATTTTTGGATTGTCAGAAAGCTTTTGACACAGTTCCACATTAGAAATTAGTGCACAAGCTGGAGATGCAGGCGGGAGTAAAAGGGAAGGTACTCCACTGGAGAAGGGAGTACCTAAACATCAGAAGACAGTGAGTCACTGTGAGGGGAGGGGGGGGGGAAGCCTCGGAGTGGGGAGGTGTCACCAGTGGAGTCCCACGGGGATCAGTCCTTGGAAAAACTATTTCTGATATATGTAAATGATCTCCCAAAGGGATTAGACTCGTTCCTCTCAATGTTTGGTGATGATTCAAAAATTATGAGGAGGATTAAGACAGAGAAAGACAGTATGAGGCTACAAGATGACCTAGCCAAGCTGAAGGAATGGTACAACAATGGCTACTAAAGTTCAACCCAAGTAAATGTAAGGTAATGAAACTAGATGTAGGAAATAGAAAGCTAGACACGGGATACCGAATGGGAGATGAAGTCCTTCACGAAACGGACAATTAGAAAGATCTAGGAGTTAATATCACGTCAAACCTTTCTCCTGAAGTCCACATCAAAAGAATAACATCGGTGGCGTATGCGAGGCTGGATAACATCAGAACTGCCTTCAAAAACCTGTGAAAGGAATCTTTCAGAACCTTGTATACCACGTATGTAAGACTAATCCTGGAGTATGCGGCCCCAGCATGGAGCCCGTACCTTGTCAAGCACAAGACGAAGCTGGAAAAAGTTCAGAGGTATGCCACTAGACTAGTCCCAGAATTAAGAGGCATGAGTTACGAGGAAAGGCTGAGTGAACTACACCTCACGTCGCTGGAAGACAGAAGAGCTCGGGGAGACATAATCACCACATACAAAATTCTCAGGGGAATTGACAGGGTAGACAAGGATGGATTATTTAACTCGGGTGGTACACGCACAAGGGGACACAGGTAGAAGCTGAGTACCCAAATGAGCCACAGAGACATTAGAAAAAAAATTCATTGTCAGAGTAGTTAGTAAATGGAATGCATTAGGCAGTGATGTGGTGGAGGCTGACTCCATACACAGTTTCAAATGTAGATATGATAGAGCCCAGTAGGCTCAGGAATCTGTACACCAGTTGATTGACAGTTGAGAGGCGGGACCAAAGAGCCAGAGCTCAACCCCCGCAAGCACAATTAGGTGAGTACACAATTGGCACAGTGATAATATCCTTGCGAACATCCCAGGAGGATGTTATATATATATATATATATATATATATATATATATATATATATATATATATATATATATATATATATATATATATATATATATAGATACATTTTTTTTTTGAAATATATGGAAGGGAGTACCACCTCTAGCTGGAAGAAGGGGGATAGATACATATATATATTTATATATATATATATATATATATATATATATATATATATATATATATATATATATATATATATGTATATATATATATATATATATATGTATATATATATATATATATATATATATATATATATATATAGTTTTTTTGTTTTTCTCTGTCCACAAAACATCATTTATTTAACAGTGTTTCTGCCAATCACTAAAGTAGTGTCGCGAGTTGTATTGTGTCAGCTGTTTAGCAATAGTTTATAACCTTTCACAATAACCACATTCACAAAGTGCTGCAAATAAAGTGTCAAATCGGCAGCCACGGGCATGGCGAATTTTTGCCCCCGTGCGAAAAGGTCAGTGTGTGTCCAGCCTGTAGTGTGGGGGTTCAGTATGAGCTGGGCCACAACGATGAGTGGACCGTAAAGTGTATGTTCTAAGGGGAGGGGACGAGTCCCTGGGGGCTAAGGGGAGACCCCCCGGAGAAGTGACAAGTGCTACACTCTCCTGCACTCCCATACTGTGAACACTCGCAGTGTACAACAAGTGACGTGATGGAAAAGAACAAGATTGTGATAGTGTTGACGGAGGCGGATATGTGCGAGAGAGAGAGGAATCATTGATGCAGCCGGCTATAATAGCGAGCCAGCTATGGTAAGCTATAGACGGTCAGCCAGCTAGCTAGCGAGCTATAGCGGGTCGGCCACGCCACTAGACAGGCAGGCCATACTAGGTATAGGCTCCTAGGCGTGGTTCCCACCCGGCCTGCCGCGCCCCCATACCCCTGCTCAACATACCAATCTGTATGGTAAAGTGTGGAGGGAGACTCGAATGTTTGGAACGCCTCCGTGTTTCAGGAACGGCCTTCGTGTGCAGTGGGGAACGCATTGGGTAGTTGGAAGGGGGCTTCTCCGTGAAGGGAAAGGCGGCTCTGTGTGTGTGTTCACTTCTTGAATACGCAAGCTTATGTTTACAAACAAATGTCAACGCCGGCTACACATACAGTGCTCAATATTATGCTCAATATGTGCGTAATCTTCCGGTTGATATATGTGTTCACGTGCGTGGTCGATAGGAGCTGGGATATGAGGACAAGGAGCTGGGATATGAGGACAAGGAGCTGGGATATGAGGACAAGGAACTGGGATATGAGGACAAGGAACTGGGATATAAGGACAAGCAACTGGGATATGAGGACTAGGAGCTGGGATATGAGGATAAGGAGCTGGGATATGGGGACAAGGAACTGGGATATGGGGGACAAGGAGCTGGGATATGAGGACAAGGAGCTGGGATATGAGGACAAGGAGCTGGGATATGAGGACAAGGAGCTGGGATATGAGGACAAGGAGCTGGGATATGAGGACAAGGAGCTGGGATATGGGGACAAGGAACTGGGATATGAGGACAAGGAGCTGGGATATGAGGACAAGGAGCTGGGATATGGGGACAAGGAACTGGGATATGAGGACAAGGAGCTTGGATATTAGGACGTCAAATAAACGGTGCCTCTCAACTACTTATTAAGACTAAGGGGGGGGGGGGGGAACCCGAACGCCGACCTGCTATAGAAGCGAGGCCGTCGCTCTTCCGACCAGTCTGGAAGTGGAGGGGTTGAGAGGGGGTATATAAGGAGAAAGGTTATACGGTCTACGGATTCCGAGACCTTTAACGGCGTTCCCAGACAGTGGTCCAGAGTGTGACCTACAGTGGGCGGGGTGTGGTCATTGCGTCAGCGGGCCACACCCTCGCCTGCTGCTGCTGCTGCCCTACCCCACGGCTACCCATGCCCCCCATGCCCCCCCCCCGGTACAGCAAGGCGGCGGACACTTGACCTGCCTCAACCCCAGCAACCAGGGCATAGCCCAACCCATCTCAACACACACCCAAACCTCCCCTCCAACCAATCCCAACCTACACACACACACACACATACATACACACACACAGGGAGCCGGCGGGCGAGCGGACAGCACGCTGGTCACGTGATCCTGTGGTCCCGGGTTCGAACCCGAGGCGCCGGCGAGAAACGATGGGCAGAGTTTCTTTCACCCTGAATGCCCCTGTTACCTAGCAGTAAATAGGTACCTGGGAGTTAGTCAGCTGTCATGGGCTGCTTCCTGGGGTGTGTGTGTGGGGGGGGGGGGAAGGAAATAGTAGTAGTAGAAACAGTTGATTGACAGTTGAGAGGCGGGCCGAAAGAGCAGAGCTCAACTCCCCAAGCACAACTAGGTGAATACACGCACACACACACACACACACACACACACACACACACACACACACACACACATTGAGGGGATTGATAGGGTAGATAAAGACAGTCTAGGGGATTGATAGGGTAGATAAAGACAGTCTATTTAACACAAGGGGAACACGCACAAGGGGACACAGGTGGAAACTGAGTGCCCAAATGAGCCACAGAGATATTAGAAAGAACTTTTTTAGTGTCAGAGTGGTTGACAAATGGAATGCATTAGGGGGTGATGTGGTGGAGGCTGACTCCATACACAGTTTCAAGTGTAGATATGACAGAGCCCGATAGGCTCAGGAATCTGTACACCTGTTGATTGACGGTTGAGAGGCGGGACCAAAGAGCCAGAGCTCAACCCCCGCAAACACAACTAGGTGAGTACAACTAGGTGAGTACACACACACACAACACACACACACACACACACCCTTGACCTTTCCCGCCAATCAAAATTGCAACAATGGCTGATAAACAAAAAATCTCTTGCTATTTATAGCAGCCTATTGATAGGTTCTCCATTAGAGGCAGAGAATGACGGGTAATTGTGTGTGTGTGTGTGTGTGTGTGTGTGTGTGTGTGTGTGTGTGTGTGTGTGTGTGTGTGTGTGTGTGTGTGTGTACTCACCTAGTTGTGCTTGCGGGAGTTGAGCTTTGGCTCTTTGTTCCCGCCTCTCAACTGTCAATCAACTGGTGTACAAATTCCTGAGCCTACTGGGCTCTATTTTGTGTGTGTGTGTGTGTGTGGGTGTTGGTAACTGCTTATTAGGTGCTTGTTTGTGCGGTGATTCGAGTACACTGCTGATCTTCTTGTTTGCGAAACAACCCTTAAACCTGGTTTATTTTCTAAAGGTTAGACTTGATATCAGGAGCCGACCAATCCGTTAAAAATTGGACGTATTAGTGAAGATTTTAAGCACCGTATTAGTGACGCTTTCGAGGCATCGACGAGGTGAAGCGAACTGCTTGGATTCGTACGCTTCTGGTTACGCCAAACCGTCGCGTTTTTGTACGTAGTAAAGCGTCTATTGGGGTACAGGGCCCCCCCCGTGTCTGTCTTGGAATTATTGAGTGAAAAAAGGACACGTTCCTTGCTAGACGTGATGAGTGTGCTCATACTGGCCCTTCACTCATGCTTTCCCCTCATTCTCACTCACACTTTCCCCTCACTCCCATACTCACCCTCATTCTCACACTCCCCCCCCTCACATACTCCCCCCCCCTCACATACTCCCCCCCCCACCCTCACACACTCCCCCCCCCACCCCCAAGGCTACAGTTGTCTCACGGGCTTAAGAATACTATTGTTTTTGTCCCATTTTTTTCCCCTATTTGGTCTGCTGATCTAAATGTCACAGTTGTAAAGTTATGAGCGAGTCACTCCTCCCGCGTTTGGCCAGGTTCGAGCCCCGGCCGGGGATGATATACTGGCCGCCACTCCCTAACTGTTCGCCCCCCTGTTTACCCAGCAGTAATTGGCCTCCACAACAGTGGCTATGTGGGGGGGGGAGGGGGGGATGATGCTGTACGCCTCAGAGAATCATCTCTCCTTGCATCTCTCTCTATACGTATTCTGTTGCAGCATCCATTGATGATCCCATATGCGATTAAATGATAAATTCTTTAAAGCGTGGCAGTGGGGGATCGAACCCGTGTTCCTTGGCGTCCCAGAGACGCTCGCTTTAACCCATCACATCACGATGGGATGAAAATAATTCAACCTGCAGCGCCTAAATTAGTAAGCGTTTTTTCACAACTAAATGACACTCAATTAAATAATAATAATAATTTCCTAGCTAAATCCGGGCGTTTTGATTGCCAGTTTCTTTGTAGTTTGGAAGGTTTCAAGGCGTCATCGGGATACAGACTCAGACCTCAGAACCTAGACTACAGGTTCATGGGGATAGAGACTCAGACCTCAGAACTTAAACTACAGGTTCAGGAGATATAGACTCAGAACTCAGAACTTAAACTACAGGTTCATGGGGATACAGACTCAGAACTCAGAACTTAGACTACAGGTTCATGGGGATACAGACTCAGACCTCAGAACTTAAACTACAGGTTCAGGAGATATAGACTCAGAACTCAGAACCTAGACTACAGGTTCAGGAGATACAGACTCAGACCTCAGAACTTAAACTACAGGTTCAGGAGATATAGACTCAGAACTCAGAACCTAGACTACAGGTTCAGGAGATATAGACTCAGAACTCAGAACCTAGACTACAGGTTCAGGAGATATAGACTCAGAACTCAGAACCTAGACTACAGGTTCAGGAGATATAGACTCAGAACTCAGAACCTAGACTACAGGTTCAGGAGATATAGACTCAGAACTCAGAACCTAGACTACAGGTTCAGGAGATATAGACTCAGAACTCAGAACCTAGACTACAGGATCAGGAGATATAGACTCAGAACTCAGAACCTAGACTACAGGATCAGGAGATATAGACTCAGAACTCAGAACCTAGACTACAGGATCAGGAGATATAGACTCAGAACTCAGAACCTAGACTACAGGTTCAGGAGATATAGACTCAGAACTCAGAACCTAGACTACAGGTTCAGGAGATATAGACTCAGAACTCAGAACCTAGACTACAGGTTCAGGAGATATAGACTCAGAACTCAGAACCTAGACTACAGGTTCAGGAGATACAGACTCAGAACTCAGAACCTAGACTACAGGTTCAGGAGATATAGACTCAGAACTCAGAACCTAGACTACAGGTTCAGGAGATATAGACTCAGAACTCAGAACCTAGACTACAGGTTCAGGAGATATAGACTCAGAACTCAGAACCTAGACTACAGGTTCAGGAGATATAGACTCAGAACTCAGAACCTAGACTACAGGATCAGGAGATATAGACTCAGAACTCAGAACCTAGACTACAGGATCAGGAGATATAGACTCAGAACTCAGAACCTAGACTACAGGATCAGGAGATATAGACTCAGAACTCAGAACCTAGACTACAGGTTCAGGAGATATAGACTCAGAACTCAGAACCTAGACTACAGGATCATGGGGATACAGACTCAGAACTCAGAACTTAGACTACAGGATCAT